GAGACTTTGCAGGTGTGGATGTCTGGGTTCTAAGGAAGAAGCCAGGAGAGACCTTTGTGGGGGGGATTTGTGCAAAATAATACAAGTTTATCCAGGAACCCCTTTTTTTGGCTTTGCACTGTACCCCTGTCATTCTGTCTATTAAACAGGCAGCAGCCTTGATTTGAGTCATCTTCCTTTCTGCAACAGAGCTTGTTTGTAGATACTGTGATCTCAGCCTTTGTCCTCTTCATGGGTTCTCATGTGTGTGCAAAGGAATGTCCAGGCTCTTGCTTGTCCTATCCATAGCAAATGGTCTTTGTTTATTGTGTAATACAATCTTATGCAAATTAAGCCTTTACTTCAAGTTAAGTCTATTCTTCAAAGATCTGAACTTTCTTGTTTGTTTGTTTTTGTTTTCAGTTTATCGGTGTCAGGTCAAGCTAAGTTATTTGAAATAGCTTTCCCCTAAAACCTAGACTGGAGAAGATATACGTCCCCATATATCTGGGTCCTTCTATACCCATCCCCCTTCATATATTACCCTATAACTCTTGACTGTGCTCTGAGCACTGGAAGAATCTGTCTGTCTCATGTTTGTTGTCTTATAGTAGTGGTACCCAAACTTGAGCACACATGAGAATCATGAAAAAGACTGTTCACAGAGCCCCCTGGTCCCCACCTTTGTAGGTTGTGGTTGTTCTAGTCTGGGAAGGCATAGAGAATTTACATTTCTAACCAGTTCCCAGATGATGACAAAATTGAAGGTCCTGGAATGACATTTGGAGACTTAGAGATGATCACTTTCATAAAGAAGTTTAATTCCACTGATAAACCTTAGACATCTCTTGTGAATAGCCCTAGTATAATGCTTTGATGCAACCAGGTAAAATGATCTTAAGGCAATGAGGCAATGGTAGGGAGGGGTGCCCTAAGTAGTTTATTTTCTCATGGTAGTCCAACTCCAAGAAATTCAACCATACTCCAAAACTAATTCCATCACTTCTTAGTTGAAGTGAACTTTGATTGACCTGCACGTGTATGCCTTCCAAATCTCCCGAATCCAAACCTCCTATTTGGCCATAGCAGCAGCTGCCATTATGGATTCAAGCCAGACAGTGTTCATTTGGTTAAACAGGCAGCACTCAAGAAGGCTGAAAATAGCATTACAGATAAGTAATGCAGCAATTTTGCATCTGTTCTGAGGTCCCATTAATTTCCTTAACTAGAGCTAAGCAGAACATACAAGTTGACTGGCCCCTTTCCTGCCTTTCACTAATAGTTGTAAACCTGCTGTTGTAATATAAAAGCTGCTTATAATATCATTAACATCTGTTTAAATCCTCTTTGAAACTTGCTGGTGACGCAACATTCTGCCTTAACGGAAAGTTTCTCTCCTGGTTTAAGATTCTTAGCTGCCTCCTTCCTGAGCTTTGAAAGGTAGAGCCCCCTCAAGGACAGAGCAGCTTGGAGAGCTTGCACCCCCCAAAATGGCCTGAAGAGAGCTTTCCAAATAACAGTCCCTGCCTCCTGGACTACATGCCCTTTCAGATGCCAGCTGGGCTGAAACTCAAAAAGGCAGATGGATTCCAAACTGCAGCCTCAAGCTGAATGGACTCTCTAGGAACCATGTAGGGAGGGAGTTCAGGGTTGGCAGATGCCCCTAGTGGCCACCAAGGTCTTAGCTTCACACTCTGGATAAGGTACATTGGCTTTGTTTCACCTGTCTTAAGGAAGAGACTTAGACTTGGCTTGAGGTGGGCTGACACAGGAGCTGGATTTTGTTGTTGTTGTTTGTGTTTGTTTTGTTTTTTCCAATTTATTCATTTTATATCCCAATTGTAGCCCCCACCCTCATCTCCTCCTTGTCCCACACTTCCTCCCACTCCCCGCCATCCCTTTTTGGTAGTCCACTGAAAGGGGGAATCCTCCCCCTCTGCCCTCTGACCCTAGTTTATCAAGTCTCATCAGGACTGCCTGGATCCTCTTCCTCTGTGTTCTGTCAAGGCCGTACCACCAAGGGAAGGGATCAAGAAGCAAGCAACTGAGTTCATGCCAAAGACAGCCCCTGCTCCCCTTACTCAGGAACCCAAATGGAACTGAGCTGCCTATTGGTACATCTGAGCAGGGGTTCTAGGTCCTCTCCATGCATAGTCCTTGGTTGGTGCATCAGTCTCTGCAGGACCCCCTTTGGCTTTGTTGGTCTCCTTGTGGAGCTCCTGTCCCTTCTGGGTCCTTCTATACCCATCCCCCTTCTTCAATAAGACTCCCTGTGCTCTGTGCAAAGTTTGGCTGTGGGTTTCTGCATCTGCTTCAATCCCCTGTTGGATGGAGCCTTTCAAAGGACATCTGTGGTAGGCTCCCATCCTGCTCCTATACTTCCACCAAATCTAGTGTCTATCCTGTTTACCATTCTGAATGAGATTTAAGCATTCTCCCTACGGTCCTCTTTGTTGTTTAGCTTCTTTAAGCTAAAGAATCCTCTTTGCCTACCTGATGTACCACAGTAGATTTTACTGTGTTTATCCCATATTATGGGATAATATTGTAGCCCTTGTTTTCTTTACTTGGATGCTAATATCAAATGTTCCTGTGTAAGCTGGCCTGACACAGGACGATCCTAAACCCATCCACTCCATCCCCAGTGATACAAGGGTGAACTAACATGACCAGGTCTCCCCATTCCTCAGAGCAAGTGGGTCAGCACCCACATTCACCTTTTTCTTCCTCTCAGCCAATGTTTGTTTTCAACTAGTTTCACCTAAAACTTATCACAAATCCCTGGGTCTCCAGTGGTTTCCAACTGTATTTTCCCAAACCTCATAGATGCTAGTAAATCTAGATGCCTGGTGCTTGTTCTCACGTGTGGATTATGTGGCGCACACTGAAGGGTCAAGGTTTTCCCAACAGCATACCCTCCTAACAGAGTGGCTAGCAGAAAACCCAGAGATAAATAATATTAGCTATTATTATTATTGAATTAAGTCAAGCTCACTAATTAAATGAATCATTCTAAATTCTGTCCAGAATATAATTATTGATGGGGCCTGCAGCATAAATGTAATCTACTCAATATACACCCGATTCATTTGAATTAATATTATACCATTAGAAAATGTGGGATTCTAGGATTCATTTCACTAAACTATCTCCCAATGCTTCTCCCTGGAGCACCCAATAGTCCATGATGATGAACCCATTCAACACAATGTAAGTAGAAGCCTAGAAGAAACTTGGGGGCCATCTTGTTGAGGGGTAGTTTTTTCTCCCAGCCTCAAGATTCTGGAATAATTACTCAGACTCAAAAAACATTTACAAATATCTAAGCCATATAGCTAGGTTCTTCTCTGACTAGCTCATAACTTAAAATAAGCCATTTATTCTAATCTACATTCTGCAATGTGGCTAGTTACCTCCGCTCAGGTACCATACATCTGCCCTCCTCACATCTTCCTGGGTGACTGTTCCACACCTGACACTATCCCAGAATCCTCTTTGCCTACCTGATGTACTACCTTCTATTCTACCTTTTCTTATAGGGCATAGTTTTTTTTTTTTAATTGACAGGTGATGTGTCCATATAGTATATAAAATATTCCTTCTATACCATCTATCAGAGCTCTTAGATTTAATGCAGAGGATCCTAAGCTAGTGCTACAGCTTGGGTCAGATCTCTATTTCTTTTGTAACTTAAGACATTGATTTGAGCAATACATTGTACGGTGGGTAGTCTTTGATTCCCAGCATGCAAAGCTTGTGAGCATCAGAGCCCAGAAGCAGTAGTGACTACATTCCAGAACTCCCAGGCTGTGGCCAAGAATAAAGCAAATGCTGACACGAGAGGGCACATTCCTGCCCATATTACTCCACTGACCTTGCCTTTAATGATCACCCTAACTCCTCACTGCACACACAGATAATTGAATTGTTAACTCAAGCTTTTCTTTCCCTCCTTATTTTAGCATTTCATATCCTAAACGAACAGCTGCTTACTGCAAAAAAAATGTGGCTCTGTTACTTTCTTACTCTAAACAGTCTGACTGTAAAAACTGACTATTTTGTTCCAAGTAGTTACCGGACCATTTGATTGTATCCTGAGGTACAGAAATGAAACAGCTCCTTAAACATTCACAGCTCTAAGGCCAAGTGATAAAACAAATGTCAGAAACTTTAAACATAAGCAAATAAAATTCTTTGAATCCTGAAACATCATAAGGCCACCCTGACGAAGCCATGACACCCACCATGTTGAAAGTGACCTGTGACATCTTTCTGACAAGTGTGTTTGGGGAAGAAGAGAAATGTCTTTCTTCTTACCAACATTAAATGGCCCACAGAATGCATGACCATATGGCAGCCTGGTAGAGGTTCCTGAAACAGTTGAGTAGTTTACATTACCTTTTTTTTCTGTATAGCAGAGAGAACATTATTGAAACTTCTGCTCCAATGCTCCTGGGTTGATCAATGGGACAAAGACACTGTCAATGGAATGATATGAAAGATATTCTAAAATTCCTGGTATTGTTGTCATGATAACCTCTCTGGGTTTCACTTAAACAAGTGTTATCATATGATCCAACCCTGAGCAAAACCAGCTTTCCTATATTGAGAACCAGTATGTTTATAAAGCCTGGAGATGGAAATTTTCCTGAGGTATTTAATGTCATTCTCATTCTCACTCAGCTCTATGTTTACTCCATAGACATTGATCACATACTTAGTGGAAGGCTGGCCAAGCATTGTGCCAGGCAGAGGCATAATATGGAAATCCTGTGGCCGTTCTTTGGTGGGCCACCCACCGCTTAAACTTCAGTGTTCCCCACACTTGGCACTAACGACAACTTCATCCCTGAATTAGAATATGAAATCCTATTAAAGAAATGCTACTTCCCAAAATAATTATTTTCTAAGCCATGACATTTAAGCAGTGAAGTTTTGAATTTCCTGCTTTAAGGAGGAACATATGCATTATTTTCGTTTTTCCAACGAAACCAATTATGATTCCTTGGCATTTATTGCAGATGAGCAAGAAAGTTCCGGAGCGATTATTTACACCGTGGAGCTGAAGCGCTATGGGGGGCCCCTTGGCATCACGATTTCAGGAACTGAAGAGCCGTTTGATCCTATTATCATCTCAAGCCTCACTAAAGGGGGATTAGCTGAAAGGTAAAATTTGCAGGAACTGCTGTAATTACCTGTGTCTGAGAGGGGTTTGCTCCCTCACAGCTGTGTGAAAACCTACTCCCTTCTCCTAGCTGTTTATCTGTTGACTTTTAAATCTGCACAGAGGATTGATTTTAGAGCTTGGGAGTTCTCAGGCGGAACTCTGGCTTGACGGTGAAGGGCCTCTCACAGGCAGTAGAAGATGCTATGGGCTTAGCATGGGTATTACTCTCAGGAAAAAAAAAAAAAAAACAACAAAAAAAAAACGTTAAGAGACCACAGTTGACTACAAGTTGATTTATACTGTGTCTGTTTTGAGAAGAGGAGACTAAAGTTGAGGGAGGTTAAAGGGCTTGTCCAAATCAATCTGCAAACATTTGCTGAGCTTTCTGGTGCCTGATAGGTATTGTAGCAAGCTTCTATGTATTTGGGAGACGATAATGAAAGCTTGGTCCTCAAAGACTACAGCTAACACAGCGTAGTGACCCTCTCAATAGTATCTCGTTGCGCCGTGTCCACTTGTTCTTTGGCAGCGGTGCATGTGTCCTGCCTGCTTTCCGCCCTCCGCCGGACTGCACTCTTTTTTCTGAGACATGTTGCCGGGCATACACAAGAGACCCTATAACTAGATCTGTTTTCCAGCGACTTAGCTCAAGAATGCTCAGGCATATCATTCAGGCTGACGTTTTTCAACTGCAGTTGGCAAGATAGAGCTGTAGCGCTGCAGCATTTCAGAACCTCAAGGTACCTTACTTAGGAACCAGCTCACTTTGGATGTGATCTCTTGCCAGAGAAGCCATGTTCTGAATTGAAATTCCTTTACAATGAGGGACCTGAGTTTGCATCCCAGGCACCACAAAAATGTCAGGTACACAAGTGAGCACCCATCACAACAACACTGGGCAGGAAAACCTGTGAGCTCAATGATCAGGCAGGATTAAGCAAACTGATGAACTCCAGATTCGGTAATATACCATACCTTAAAAAAAAATCAATAAATAGGTAGGTAGATAGATTGATAGCTAGATGGAAATCAATAAATAGATTAGATAGATGATAGATAGATAGATAGATAGATAGATAGATAGATAGACAATAGATAGATAGATAGATAGATAGATAGATAGATAGATAGATAGATAGATAG